TACTGTGATCTGATTAGTGTGCTCTGCAGGTTTACTATTGTTCTAAGTAACAGTGGGATTTAAAGTATGGAGGTGTTCTTTCGTAGTGTGTGGAATATGTGATGCTGGAAACATGTAAGTATTTCAGAGTTGTGTTGGGTAAATATGTAACAATGGATGAAACTATTTTTGGAGTGAGTTTTTGTAATATCATTAGTAGACATTAATTATGTTGTTTAGATGGCATTTAACAACTAAGACAGATAGTATGATTAGAAAGAGACAGAGTGGAAAGGGTTGGATTTATTTAACATCAGTGTGCAAGACTTCTTATAGGTAAGGTGTCCCGGGACCTGGACTCCCCCTCTGAGTTAGAAAGGCTTTGATCCCGACCCTCCAAGCAGACAAAAGACCTAACCCAACAGGAGACTCCTCCTTCTCCATCGTACAGACAGAGAACCAGAGCTGAACCAACAACAACAACAAGACTACATCGAGACTGCAGCCAGAACTATCTCCACCTGTGGCATCCAGAACCAAACAGCATGCTGACATACAGAGAGATACTCTCATCGGTCCCTCAGACAGGACATGAGAGCAGAATCCGCCCTCCATAAAAACAGCAGAGAGACTGTAAAGGAGGAGTGCAACAACAGTGGCATGATGGGGCTGCAGATGTGACTGGGCCAATGGCTGCCTAAAAAAGTTACAGCGGATGGATACAACAGCTGATGGACTGAAGAGAAGACAGAATCAGAGGAGTTGGCATGGTCGATTAGAAGTGAGGAGGCCGGGGTCACGGTTTGAGAAAACCAGGGGAGGAGAAAAGGAGAACGGGAATGAGTGAGTTTACACATAAACACACTTATTCACAAAACGCACATTTAAATAACTTGAATTTACTTCATAAATACGTAAAGACAGAAAGATTTATTAATCAATTGGTAAATTCAAAATAGCAGTAAAGAGGAAACTATTAAAGTAAAATGAGAATCATCCTAAAACACACTGACAGAGTAGAACCATATTCTTCAATATTTTCAATCTTTTAACAAATCATTCTTTAAGAAATTTTTATTCACGTGTGAATAAAGTAGTGATCTCATTGGTTACAATATTGATCACCATTAAAAGGATAGTTTTAGGAACCACTCTATAGGACAAATCTTTATTTGTATTAATAATGTTAAAGAGAGAGCTGGTGCCAATCCACATATTAAATTCCAATCTAAAGTGTTGATTTCACCATTGTAGCATAGTTATTACCATAGGACTTCGGTTTTAAATCCTTGATAAAGGAGGGAGTAATTGTTGCATGTTCGGACACCCAAGGTTCCACACACTGCTAAAGAGTTTAACATTGTTTTTTAAGTAGACCAGAATTAAAGATAAATGAGTATGATGAGCTATGAAATGCAGAGCGACACAGATCCTAGTAATGTTTTGACTCAAGATAATAGTTATGCACACAAGTTTCTGAAATAGATCATTAGACATTTTAATACTAATTAGGTGTAAATGAATTGCAGTAGTAGTAGTACTCTAAGAAAGTGAGTTTTGTACCAAGTTTCAGGAAAAGTGGGAGGCAGAAGTCCCAATGAAAAGTTAGAACCATCTTGAAAATCATAGTTGGAATCGTGAATGAATAAGGAATGGCGCTCCGCATATGATATATTTTTGTTGATAAAGGGTACCCGCCTATGCTGAAATACCTCTGAAAAGACTCTGCAGAGCATGACATGGCCAAAAAAGACAGAGACCAACTGACCTTTGACCCTGACCGACAGTGTAACTTGACAAGGCACTGTGGATGACTGACTCTGGGGTGAAGCTGACCAAACTTGACATGACTACCAGACAGTGTGAGTGTGAATGAATGCCGGCATGTGATCAGTGTAACTGCATGATTCGAAAACAATAACTAACCAAGCATGTTTTTGGACTAACATATTATTTTGGTGCTCCAAGGGAAACGAGAGGTTTCCTAAAAATTCCACAAAAAGGGGAAACCGCACATGTGACCCGGTTCTAATTTACTTGATGATATTTTACTCTCACATGAGTTGGCGGTTTGCAAATGTAAAACTAAAATCTGAAGATTCTGTTTCTTTTAGGCCTGAAGGACGGAGAGGAACACTTCTTTTCACTAAAGTGTTTACTGTGGAAATAATGATAATGGATGTCAAATTGTAAATAATGTTCGTTATGTCCCTAACCAATTACCTGACAGTTTTTGTTCCCCTCCCATTACAGGGTTTTGTTACACATGATTTCATGTGTAAAAAGGGGGGAGTGTGTATAATGTATAAATGTCAACATGGCTGTAATATTCACAATTTAAATGTTTCTTTTAAGGATTGACAGAAACCTTCCGCCCCGACCCAGATGTTCAAACTGAGCATTGAATGTAATTAACCTGCTCCATATCTGGGGATAAGATACTGTTTGATGAATGTTGAGATGTTTCTAAATATTGATTTGAATTATAACAGGTAACACAGAAGCAGTGGCCTAGGGGCTACTGTCCATCCATCCATCTTCTCCCGCTTATCCGTGGTCGGGTCGCGGGGGTAGCAGTTCCAGCAGAGAGCCCCAAACTTTATTTTCCCTGGCGACATCAACCAGCTCTGACTGGGGGATCCCAAGGCGCTCCCAGGCCAGCGAAGAGATATAATCCCTCCACCTGGTCCTAGGTCTACCCCTTGGTCTCTTCCCAGCTGGACGTGCCTGGAACACCTCCCTAGGGAGGCGCCCAGGTGGCATCCTAACTAGGTGCCCGAACCACCTCAACTGGCTCCTTTCGACGCGAAGGAGGAGCGGCTCAACTCCGAGTCCCTCCCTGATGACCGAACTTCTCACCTTATCCCTAAGGGAGACACCAGCCACCCTGCGGAGAAAACCCATCTCGGCCGCTTGTATCCGCGATCTCGTTCTTTCGGTCATGAGGGGCTACTTGTGCTAACAATGTTCAACTTTTGAGGCTGAGCTGGAAGCGACAGCCAATCAGATCCGTTTATGCAAATCTGACAGTTCAAGCGCTAGCCAATCAAACCGCGTGCAAGCTGGGAGAACCAGACCCGCAGTTCATTTCTATATTCCACAAAAATGGAGGAGAAGTTAGTTATTGCGGTAGCAAATCACCCGGTTCTTTATGACCAGTCCCTATTTACTTACCGGGATACAAACCGGAGGAGCGAGGCATGGAGGGAGGTGGCAGAGGCAGTGGGTGAAACTGGTAGGTTTTCGCTTGTTTGGGGATTTTATATCCAGTTTACTTCATTGCTAGTTTACTTCGTTGCTATCAAGCATAGACAGTATCATTAGCCAGCATGGAATGTAGCATAAAATAGCACCATAGACATTAATCTCATAAATGTTCAAAATGTTAAAAGAAATAGTGGAGAAGAAGTTTTTTTGCTTTGTATGTCGGGGGCGGGAGATTCATGTGATTGGTTGTTGGTCGCGAAATCCGCCCAGCTCCAAGATTTTCAAGATTTTTGAAAAGCTGCTGTGTGGACGTACCGTCCGGTTGTCCTCTCATGGTTCCTTCACTGCCATGGAAAGTGGTGTTCTGTTCCCAAAGATTTCAAGTACTTTGGGTCTCAGTTTCTGATAGATTTATACAATGTTGGGAGACGGACACAGTAGAAAATAATGACAGGGGATATGTTTCAAAATGCCTTGTGTAAGTTTATCTCTTGAGAATGAGATACAAAGGGGGAATTGTGCGAATATTGAAGTAACTTGAAAGTTTGAAGTGAAAAGTTAATACAGCGTATTTTTGGTATATTCATTTTAATGACACCTGATATATAAGAGGTGTGTTGCATCATGCTATCACTAATATATGTGTGGTTTTATACATTCCTGTGTGTTAATAGTTGAAGGAACAAAGTACATTTTTCCTCTTAAATATAGAGAGGTTTTTTATATATTCAACAATGTTCCCTTTTTCTTAAAAGTAGATTAGCGCAATAGTATTTTTCTTCCACTTTGACATATAATCAAAAGGGTGGTTTTTTTGGCTATTTGTGAGTAGGTAAGGTGCAGTATAACTGGTGAGTTCTGTTTTGAGTGAAAAGATTACCCGTTAAGTGTTTTTCAGAAAGCCTTGTTGCAGTTCGAGGCCATAAGTTTCTTAGGTAATCATCAATGGTCTTTGCAAAATAACAGGGGAACTCCAAGAGACATTTTCCCCAGATAGAAGGCAGTTACATTCTTGTAGTTAATGATGCATGTCAGGCAGACCTATAAAAAGGGCCTTGATAATTGGGGTCACACAATTAAGGTCTGAATAAAATGTATGTATTAAATTGTGCTGAGCAATGCCTGTGGTTGCATTCTATTGACTTCTCTGCTGTATTCTTTCATGTGTGGGTAAAATTGCTACAACATTGTGGAGTAGTTAGCTTAAACATGTTGTATTACTCTGCATAAAGGGGGGGGTGCAGTTGTGCAGGACAGGAGATGGGGGAGGGGAGCAGGGAGGGAAGTCGGAAGAATGTGTGTGTGAAAGCAACAGAATGAGACAGCGAACACCAGATGTGGTTGTTTTGCTTCAAACTAAGGGACTGTTTCCGGATCATCTCGGCTGGCGCGCGCTGATACGCTACGAAAGCCCATCGTTTGTATATGGGCCAATAGAGGACCTGTATGGGAGTAGCATCCACACAGCTCCTCCCGTTGTTTTTACAATATCTCCTGTTGAGTCCTTGTGTCCGGTCTCTTTTCCTCCTGCCGTCAAGACTGATGATGTTCTCCCGGCATTAGGACCAGGGCAGGGGTGGGCCTACCCCTTTGAGAAGTGTATTGTATTCTTACCTTGTATCATTAAAACAGATTATTGTTTAACCCCTATCCTGGTTGTTTTGAGTTTTCCTTCTTTTAAAACAAACTCATATAGGATCGGGGCGGAGCAGAGATATCTGCCCCAACAGTTGCAAACAGGTGAATGTTATGGATGTTCTTAGTTCAGGTGTTTAACTTAAGCCTGGCCCCCCCAATACCGGGGGAAAAACGAGTCAGTGCAGGAGACAGCGTCTGGGGGCTTCTTAATATTTAAAAACCAATGAATGTCTTATACTCAAATAACGGGAAAAAAAACTCAGCTACCTGACGATATGAGCCATTTTTACCAAAACAAAACACAAGTCTCACAAGAAGCGTTATCATTAGCCCTTAGAGAAAATGGGCTGATGCTACTTCCGGTGCTAACTAGCAAAAACGATCTTTAAAACTTAATATGTTCTTCACAAACTACATATCATATGAAAGCTGCACGACACAAACTCACTGAGCTAGCAGCCAGAACAGAGCAAGAAAACAACAACAGTTCTATTTCATCCCTACTGACCACCAGAGGCGGTGCTTTAAGCACTGGATATGTCCATCGCGCTCATGCGCAGCTCGAGTACCAATAACAACAAAGTCACCTGTGACCCACCTTACACCGGCTATATCAGCCTGGGCTCGGTGTAGGGGCTGCTAGCGGGCCGCCTGCCCCCCCCCCCCCCCCCCCCCCCTCGGTTGACGCCCCTCCTTCGGTTGGCGCACCTCCTTCGGTTGGCGCACCTCCTTCGGTTGGCGCACCTCCTTCGGTTGACGCACCTCTGTATGAGGACGCCTTGTCTCTGGTACAGACTCATCGCTAGGTTTGGCTGGCCCAGTCACCACTAACGGAGGCATGTAGGAGAGTCCTCCGTAGCTTACCAGTCGAGCCAGGGGAGCTGTTTAGGTCAGCTGCCCTGGAGGCACTGGAGCGTGCTGCCCAAGCTAGGCAGACCAGGCAGCAGCTCTCGGGTCCTCGCAGACCTGTGCGCTCTGTACTTCCGGCCCTTGGGTGGTTTTCACCTTAACCCAGGGGTACGGACCGCAGCTCCTGTCCCTAGCCTTCAGCTGGGTCTAATTGACAGTCGTCAGCGATCCGGCAGGGGCCCTAGCTCTGGCCCAAGAGTTGTCCGTCCTTCTGTCCAAGGATGCAATCGAGCCAGTAAGACCCTCTGCTTAGCCCAGGGGGTTCTACTCTGCGTACTTTCTCTTGAGCAAGAAAGTCAGCGGATTTCGCCCGATCTTGGACCTCAGAGGAATCAACAGATTCCTGGAGGTGCTGCCATTCTTTATGCTGACCACTGCACATGCACAGGTGGAGTGGTTCTCAACCGTGGACTTGAGGGATGCCTACTTCCACGTGGGCCGGGCAAGATGGTGCCTTATATTCAGTTCCTCCGGCCCTTGGGCAGACTGGCGGCTGCCTCGGCCGCTGGGCCCTTAGGCCCGCTGTCGTTGCGGGTTCTCAGGGTGGGGTGCAGTGCGGCAGGACCGTCCAGGATCAGCGGTCTGCCCAGGAGGGTGCGCACCAGGTCAACGTGCTAGAGCTTCGGGCTGTGCAGCTTGCACTCACGCAATTTCGACCCCAACTGGGGGGCAAGAATGTGCGTGTTCCTTGGGGACAGCATGTACGTTGTTGCTTAGACAACAGTCCCTTCTAGATAGTGGACGTTCTCACTCCACTCTGCCCGACATGTTCGGGTCGGCGGCGCCACGGCGGGGTGCCACAGGTCGGTGTCCCTCTTTATGAGATGGGTTTTACGGCAGTGTCCCCCTAGCACCCCGAGGGCTCCTGCTTGGGACCTGCCCCTGCTGCCGGATGCCCTATCATCTCCTCCCTTCGAGCCCCTGGCTCAGGTGGGGCTTAGGTGGCTTCCCACGAAGGCAGCATTTCTGCTTTCCATAGCCTCAGGGAAGCGAGTCGGGGAGTTGCATGTCCTCTCCATAAACGATACATGCCCGAGGTGGGACTCTCAGGCGTTGCCTTTTGGGCAAAGGTGGCATTCCTGCCCGGGGTTCTTCCACAAACCCACTTCAATCATCCTGCCCAGCTGGCATGCTTTGACATTCAGGAGTACGGCACGTCGAAGTTGCTGTGCCCTGGGGGTGCCCAAAGGGCGTAGATCAAGGCTACTGCCTGTATACGGCAGTAGGAGCAACTCTTGATTTTGCCCTGGCGGCACTAAAGGAGGTTATGCCCTCTAACCAGTGGCTGCCCCACTGGGTTGTCGATACCATCTCACAGGCTTATGGGGCCAGTGGCCGCCCCCTGCCATTGGGCTGAGATGCCACTCTACAAGGAGCATCTCAACATCTTGGGCTGCCCTGAGGGTGGTGCCTCTGGAGACCATCTGCGCCGCGGCGTCGTGGGCGTCTTCTGGCACATTCTCCAGTTGTCATCAGGTCAATGTCGCCACTCCCCATTCTTTGGGCGTGGTCCTTTTGCCGAGCTCCGCTGCTTCCAGTGGTGAGCAAGGGCTTGGATTCTTCATGGCATTGTTGGTATAAGTCATCCAGTGCTTAAAGCACCGCCTCTGGCGGTCATCCGGCACTCATAGAACCGTAGTTACAGCCGTAACTATCGTTTTCTAAACCATAACAATAATGATGTCTTACCGTTGCTGTTTTGTGATCAAAAGTCATGTTCAAGGGAATAAAAACGCTGCTCAAGTTTAATCCAATGTCTCTTGGTCACTTTAGAATTGTTCCTGATAATACATCATTAAATGTATGACAGCAGAGTAGGTACAAAGTTTTGCAGTCCGGGGCTAATGCTGTCTCATGTGCTGTTTACGCAAACCTCTCTCTCCTTGACGTAAATGTTTAGCCGGATATACTAACTGCCCATCGATTATATTGGCTCTAAAGTTTAAAAAAAGGTGTCAATCACCAAAATCGACCAATGGGTTCCAGAGATAGGATCATGCGTAGTATAAATAATGCCAGCACCGGCAGCTTTACGCACATGACGCAGCAGAGGCAGCACCACAGCAGCGCAGCAGCGCAGCAACACAGCGACGAACACAGCGAACAGAGAACACAGCAAGGCAACAGCAAGCAACAGAACTGGGGTTACGTACTGTAACCCAGCTTCTATGAGTATAGGCGCAGCCCTCTAATCGCTATTGGGTAATCCCACTGCACGTGTGCAGCACTGACAGACTTCATCCACACCCACCTATGACGTGGGCCCCACCTACGGACTCACTTCCGTATAAATAGGAAGTAGTCCCTACAATCTGCTCCCACACAAACAGCTTTTCTTCAGCTATTCGCGGAGCCTTGCCCGAACCTTAGAGGGCTGTGCCTATACTCATAGAAGCTGGCTTACAGTACGTAACCCCAGTTCTATTTTGTATAAGGCTTCGCCCTCTAAGGCTATCGCTATTGGGTTAAGGGCGAAGCAGGATGTAGTCCACGCCCCACTTGTCCGTCCGTTACCAGAAGCCAGTGGCAAACCGTCAGGGCCTTCAAGGTATTCAGAGAATACCCTGGAACCAGGGGCGCCGTAAGGGGGTGAAAAGTTAGGACGATTCTAAGGGCCCGTGACTGACAGGGGCCCCAAAATGTTTAGAACATTAAGAAAAAAAATGTAAGTAACCTTTCATCAATCCTCAATAATTAATATTAATAGAACGTTATATTAATAAATTACTCACTAAACTTACGATTCATTTAACTAATTTTCTTCCAAAAGTTCATTACCCAAAGCCTCTGTACACCCCCTTCTATTTACATCATGTAATGGTTTGGTCCTGCCTCCAAACGCGGTACGGCACCAGCACTAACACTTGCAGAGAGTGAAAGCATGTGAGGAGGGATGCTAGTACTTAGCTTACGTAAGTGTGTTGTACCATGTTTCAACGACCAACAAAGTCAGGCTCTAAGAAAAGAAGAGAAAGGAGAGAAAGAAAAGAGAGAGGGACTAAAGGGCAACAGTATGTCACCCAGTTTTTCACGAGAAAAGGTGGGTGTGGTTCATGACTGGTGGTTAGCTAATGTTTTTTTGTTTACTAAGCTGACATTAAGTACTGTTAATATATTTACAGAAAATTCAGAGGTCTTTCATTTCACTGCTCTTTTAGCTGACATTTAAAGGTATGGTAGGTAATTCACTTCAGAAACACTTTTTGTTATATTCCATGGAATGCTCTTAACATCCCGATAGCAATGAATACATTAAATGCTTTGACAATAAATACATACAAAAATGTCATTTGTGGAAGCTGTGGCGCTGTAAAAAGCACGACCAATCATTTTAGCCAGCCCGGCTAAAATAACTGGATGGCCTACCTGCCTGTCAGCCTTACATCTAGGGGTACTCTGAACGAAGGGGCAGATTTTTTTCGGTTGTGTATTTTCAAATTCTATCGCACTCGAGCTGGTTTCTCCATTCTTACCTACCTACCTTTAATAAATGCAGGCACATTTTTAGCGCCTATTCATACTAAATCAGTTGTCCCTCCCCCTGGTGCCAGGTCCAACAGATCCATCTTTAGGCCCTGTCCCCCCAGAATGCTGAACCTGAACCAGCTTTTCTCCCAACTGAAGGAGGTGAGCAGCATTGTGTTGAATGACATGCCACTTAACATATCTGAAGGGAGATTGGAGTACAACATATATATATATATATAACAAAAAGCTAACATCTAATTTAAATTATACATTTCAAACACAGTATTTTCCCACATAGCCAATGATCTATATAAAACAAAAAACTGCTTTTAGTCTATTTAGGATGATGGACAGTTTGAAGCATTGAGTGATCAGTCTGTATTAGGTAAACAAAATGTTAATCATCGACATTTTGGTTATGATATTAATACTAATGTTATTATATTAAAGCAGGGGTGGGGAACCTCCGGCCCCCGGGCCGTATACGGACCGCTAGACCATTTGGTACGGCCCTCGAGGTAATTTATAAACAAAGTGGTCTGTGCCTGGTGGTGGGGCCCAATGTGATATATTTTCATGGGGCCCAAAATCCCTGGCGGCGCCCCTGCCTGGAACACTCAGATAAAACACAAAAAAATCGATTTAATTATATAAATAAAATGTATATAAAATGAGAATCGTATCTGTGTTGTTGATCTGTAATATTACAGTGTTACGTTGAGTTGTTTGTAATTCTCGGACCATGCACTACGCATTTCAGTGGTTTTGTGTTAGAAAAGAAAGCAACCAATCAGATCTTGTTCTGGGTCTCTGGGTAGAATATCCTTCAACCAAGGTATTCTACATCCTTGATCGAATGCCCTGGCCGTTACACTGAATGAGAGCGTACGTTTGGACTGACAGTTTGATCAACCAATCATATATTGATTTGTAGCCAATGGGCGTATTCTTTCAGAGTTTCCCTCGGTTCCAGGGTATTCTAGAAGGCCCGCTAGTTAACTGGCTCGAGACAGAGGATCTAGATGAATGCGACGAAGCAATTCATGCCGTTTTATTGTTTTTAACGTTGACATGACAAGTGCAACAGGTGAAGATGAAGTTGTTGCAGAATTGTTGTGAGTACCCTTTTCAAGACGGCAATTCAGTTAAAAGACGGATATTATAATGCCGCGGAGGGGGGGCGGCGGCGGCGGCGGGGGGTGTGTGTGTCTACAGAAGGTCTAGTTCTGATAGACACGGTTCGCCACTGCACAAAAACACACCTACTCAATTAATAACCCATGTCCATTTCGCCATGCGTAATGGAGCGTCACATTTCCCGGGAATATAGCATTAAAAAAATTAATATTCTCCATACGGGAAAGAAGGTAGGCTAAATAGGCTACCTGTCGTTTATAAAAAGTAGAGACCAAAGTCCCACTTGTTAAAACAATCAAAGAGGAGGAAAAGGGCAGCTCTCTAAGTGCCGACAGGCAGGAGAGAGGGCACGCAGTTGAGTCCCCGACATTACTCACTCTGACAGGACACTCAGTACTGAGTGTGTCAGAGAGGAATGGGAGACATCCCTCAAATACAAACGAATAAAAGAACAGGGGGAAGACCAAGATGCAGCAGTGCAAATGTCTTCCACTGTCATTCCTCCGTGCAACGCCGTGGTGGAGGAAATTCCTCTGGTGCCGTGCGCTTTGATGTTCTCCGGGGGATCCACCCCAGAGGAGACATACTCCTGTGACACAGCCTCACACAGCCCGTGTGACAGGCGCTGTGCAGACAGAGGCTGCCCTAATGAGCGTTCTCTGTAATGCACAAACAGACGCTGGGAACTGCGTAAAGCAGCCGTGCTTGCAATATAGCATGACAGCGCGCGCACAGGACGGAGGAGATGAAATGTGGCTTCCTCCTCTGATGTGTGAGGAGGAGGAAAGAAGCCATCCAAAGGTATCACTCTCGATCTAAAAGAGCTTGTGATCACCTTTGGCATAAAAGCCGGGTTAGGGCGCAAAACAGCTGAGCTGCCATCTCCTTGGATCTGGAGACATAACGGAGCCACAGAGAGAGCCAACCCAGTCTCACAAAAAAACGTGTAATAACTACGGTGGTCCACAACGTAGGACGTAGTATATCTACAAAAACGCCTCTGAAATTGTAAGATGCCTACGTTTTTTTTCACCATTCATTCCAATGGCTGGCTTCTATGTCACGTGATCTTCAAATTTCTCCCTGCATTTCACGGCGTCAGTTTAGACGTAATTCTGTCCTCCTGCTTACCGCATCATTTATGAGAAAACATTTCATAACATTAACACAACATATTCAAGGTGGTTTTAAATAACATATCCGTATTTATTTATTTCTCCAAGTTATGTTTTTGTGTGCACTGAGGAGTCGCAAACAGGCGTTTGTTTAATCATTTTAAGATTGGCTATAATCAATGTTTGAAAATGAATTCTTCATATATGATAAATGAGAGGTAACATTTTATTCATGGTATTATTTCCACATATTTCTCTCCATTCTTCCTTCTGCCAACGCAGTGTCGCAGTTTCTCGTCTCTCCCGTTTTTGTGCTTAGTGCGGACGCATGGGTTAGAGTTTGCGTGGAGGACCGCACGTTTTCCCATAGATATATATAAACACTAGATGACTCACCCGCGCTGCTGGCCAATGGAGACCGACGTTGCCACTTGGCCGCCATCTTGCTACAGGCAGTTCTCTCATTCATAACATTATGGTTTACTATTTAAATAACCATAGCTTGCTCAATTTTCAACCAATTTTCAAACGGTTTGGTTTTTTATAAACATCAAAGATGTAGTTATGATACTGCATACTTATAATCATGGACTTTCATATGACAATAACATTAATCAGATAAAGCAATAGCTACACACACACACACACACACACACACACACACACACACACACACACACACACACACACACACACACACACACACACGGTATTTATATTAAATATTTGCCGGTGTATATATTTCCATTTATTATAATAATAAATTATAAAATTAAAATACTTTTATATATAAAAATCGGTCTCATGTTACCACTCTGTAAGCCAAGAGTTGTTAATTTAGCAATGCCTTAGCTTGAAGAACAGGGACACAACTAATGATAATAGCATATGTTGGTATATTATTTAGATATTCACCAAACCAACATAAAATGTGCTCACAGACAGGCCAGTGCTGTCTAATTTATCACAATTATTTTTGACATGAGATCTTCATATCATCCTAGTTTTGTATTTAGTTTCTAGATTTGTAAACAAATCCAGAACCTTTGAAATATGTTATTGAAAAAAGACCAAGAATAATATAAACTGTCCCATGTGTACTTTTGTGTCCTTCTGTAGTCCATTTGTGGTTTGTCTTGTCTCACCCCGGCTGATATATCACAAAATCCACTGTTTAAATTGTTCCCTATATTGCCCCTATGCCCCTGTAAGGTGTCCTTGGGTGTTATGAAAGGCGGCCCCCCAAAATAAATGTATTATTATTATTATTAAGAAGAACAACTTGGTGTGGTGTGGAGGGGATGTAGGAAGCAGGAGCAGGTGGGGAGAGATGGGGCTTCAAGGTTCAAGGTTATTTGTTTTAAATGTGTCTTGGAGATAAGGACCAGCTGCACACAATAAAATACAGTATAACACAAAACCAATAAGACACACGGTGGCACATGGCACACCAACAATCAATCATCGTCCAGCCTCAGCTTTGGTATTCTTTCACAACCATGTTATGGGTTTATTAGACTGAGCAAACATAAACATATGTGGGGAACATAATGCTGCGTCTCATGGAACCTGAAGATGTCCCTTCTTAGGGCGAGTTCCCACTGCCTCCTCCTCTCTTCGGTTTTGGGAAACCTTAAAAACATGAGAAAGGTAGCCAGATATATAAATTATTGTCAACATTTTCCTCCCTTCTTTCCTTTAACATTAAGGGTAAGGACAAAAATACACACCGAAATTATCATATTTTTGGTATGTATGCATGTATGTATAGCCTACTTTAAGAATAAGACAACCACACTAAGAGTAATAAAAAAGGTGTCCAAAAGAAATATTCAATAATTGTGTAAAGAAATGGTAGCAACATATTCTAAAGAGGCTGGGTCAACAACAATCTTGCAATACTATTATCTCACATAGCCCCACTGATCCTGTGTAGCAGGACTTGTAATGTACATACATCCACTAAGTAATTAACGATTATCCTAATTTTAGTCATAATATTGTCATATCTTACATGTGAAAGGTGATCCCACGGGTTCTTGTTTGCAGACTGCGGTGATTAGAGCATCCGTAGGCTGCACAAAAGTCCGGCATAGTCAGGTACTTCTGTAAACACAAAGCCAGCAAATTCCTGTATCATAATGCAAGATGTTTTTAACAAGCCAAACCACTTGGAAGAAATCATGTGTAACTTAAGTTATGTTGAAAAGAAAGAGCAGTTCTGCCTCTCCCACTGGTGTAAAGTTGCTGGGTCAACTTTGTAATACTAGGTCTCACTCACAGCCTCTTGTTATTAGCCAGCTAACAAATACAACCACATACACAAAGAAAAGCTGCAATTTCAACATGTCCAAGCATCCTGTATCATAGCAATGCTAATAATGTTTATAATAAACCAAACCGTTTGTAAATCAGTCAAGATTTCAGCGAGTTAAGAGTATTTTTGTGCAGATCACTCACCTTACAACAGCTACCATAACGCGAATCAGAGTAACTGTTGACTGTAGCAAGATGGCGGCCGGTCAGCTACGCTGGAAAATCTCCCATGAGCCATCTAGTGTTTATATATATCTATGCGTTTTCCCCTCAAGTTAGTATTTTATAAATCGCAAACATTGCGTAGAAACTGGCGTACGCCATTTTTTGAGCGTATATCGCTTTATAAATGAGGCCCCTGGTGTGTTCAGCAGCTGCGCCGATCGTACACCTCCCGGGCGATTTATGTAGGCCGCCGCTGCTTTGTTGTCTGTTAGAATCAACATATGCTGATTGTACAGCAACGGGACGAAGTGGATCACTTTCCATACGGAGAGTAATTCTAGCACGTTTATATGGAGATACATGTGAGCCGGCCACTGTCCCCCCACTGCCTGTGACATGCACGTTCCTCAGCCTGCGAGAGATGCGTCTGTGACAACCCGGTATCACGGCAAGACGTGAACATGTGACGATTTACCATGCTGGGAGACGTGAAGATGTCACGGTTTCGTCCCCTTCAAACGTGACAGCTACACGGTATTGTTAACCCATGTTAACCAGTGGAGAAATAACCGGAAATACCAAGCAAATGCTACCCCGACGTAATGATTTATTTTTTAATAGTCACACTCGATTACAGCGATTTTCTTGTTGCCCCAGCTGGTCGACACCTCTTTTAGCAGAAACAAAGGCTACATTAATGTTTTAAATCGATGTTAATCCATGCGTGTGGATGTGGAATTAACTGACGTGACGTTGTGCGATTGAGTTGCCAAGCAACAGCTTCGGTTCATGTTAATTTACAAACTATTCAACTACAACCGTAGTTATATTTAAAAACATGTTAGAAGGCCTCACGAAATACTTTAATGCACATTAAAATGTAAATGTGAAGGAATGTGTGTATAACAAAATACATCGGTCATTAAACGAAACCGGAAACAGACGTAGGCAAGATCCTCAGCTCGATGATTGGATGGTTATCCGCAATGCATGCTGGGATTTGGTGTTTATGTGATGTGAAATCTGAAAACGTTTTTTAAAAATACAATAATACTTTATTCCGAATGTCGCTGCACCACTAGAAGCCAACTCCATCAATCAAGCTGAAACTTTCTCTCCCTCTTCTTCTCATGCTCCCTGTCACTCTCCTTTAACTCCTCCGGTGACTTTCTTTTATTTGAAGATTGTTTTTTGCCAGGCGCTTGGCCGGTTACCGCTGGTATTAAAAACATTTTGGCGAATGGTTAGGTGGCGCGATAGTCTGTAGTGAAGGAGCGCGCTCCGGCTCACAGGAGCCTGTATGTTGTAGCGTTGATAAACGAAACAATGTAACTAAATTGCTAGTCAAAATACCGATAGAGTGGCGAAGTCACGCCCATCTACTTCTGGTCCATGGGACCCCGGAAGCGGAAAATTATACATTGAAGTCAATGGAGAGAGAAAAGTTATCTTTTGATCCCGTTTGAATTGTGCCACGAATGACACATATGATGTTTGTCAATCTTAAACAATCATTTCCATGTCAAAAAAGTCACATTTTGTAGTAAAACTGTTGAGATATAAGACTATGAAAAATACGCGACTAGAAAGACTACAAATCCCAAATCCCATTCTGGGTCGCGTAAGTGATGTCATAGGCGACAATGCTCCAAGACTGGTTGCGACTCGCAATTAAAGCAAAGAAGAAGAAGAAGATCTCATAACTGATGTATTCCCTCCAATAAATATAAGAGATTGCTCCAATAAATTCACTTTTACAAGATGTCTGTGTGCTTTGTACCAGGTTGTAATCACAAAAGTGATCATACCACTTGCTCGTTCTATCGCTTCCTGTCTGATGAAAGGACCAGGAGTCGTTGGACCAAACATATCAGGTAATATACATGTTTTGCATGGAACATAGTCAAGTTAGCTACCTAGCTAGTAGCGAGCACGTTAGTTAGCATCACATTACTTAGCCTTGTCATTTGTATTAGCCTTAACATGAAGTAAACCAAAATGTTAAACAGTAAGAGTAGTCATGATGGTAAGTATTTTGTGAAACATTTGAAGAGTAGCCTATCGCCCCCTCCACCAGGTGCTAAGGGGGCGGGAGGTAGGCTAACGCCACATTAGCATCGGCGATCTTTTCTACTTAATGCTATCTGCACAAATGGTTAACATTGAACATTAAAAGATCAGGCAGTTCAGAGAGAGTCGAAGGCAGGCAGGCAGGCAGCTTTGCATGACATTCTTCTGGACGTGTTTCATTGTGATGATAGTGAGGGTGAGTCAATCTGTTTGTTGGAAAGACAGTAGTTGAGTGATTACTGAGAGAAAATTATTAAAAGAGATAATTCTTCAAAGTGTTGTTACTTTAAAGTGTTGTTACTGACCTTTTTCTCTTTTATTTTCTTTACATTACATGTCACTTGTTAGACGCTTTTATCCAAAGCGACTTACATACTCAATACTGTAGACAATCCCCACAGGAGAAATTTGGGGTGAAGTGACACAACGACATACTGACTGCAGTGGGGTTTGAACCTGTGACCTCCTGATCCGAATACCAACTCACAACCCACTGCACCAAACGCCTCCCCTCCCTTTACCTCACCTGTAACTGCTGAGACCCTGAGGAACATACACACTGGACTGACCTGCTCTGGCAACCTGATTTCCACTGTACATAATAGTATTTGGTTATGGTATATTATTTATATACATCAAAGGCACAATGCACCCCCCAGAGACACACATGTATTGAGTGTGATATTTTGCATAGGTCATGTGAAATCATCTTTACATACTAGAAAACTGTAGGAGCGGCAAATTGAATTTTTAATATCCGATAATAAAGTTGATCTGTTTTCTTTATTCTTCTCTCTTCCCAGCTCCATCCATCACCATTCTCTGTTCCTGCAGGTCCTGCTAATCAATGCTCATATTTTTTTACACAATTACAAATAAAGTCAATGTATTGTATGACATGAAGTTGTGCTTCATTCGGAGTCAATCATAAATTCATTCTGTCTTCAACTGCACAATAATTGTGGACTGCACCGACATCCATGTAGCTGCCTCCCAGTAAGATGAACCAAGCAAAGAGGGTCACCATCATGCCCAAGGACATCCAGCTGGCCCGCCGCATCCGCGGAGAGAGGGCTTAGACTGACCTGAGACCAGCACACCCAAACACAACGGCTCTTTTAAGAGCCACCTACAGTTTCAAAGAGTTGCAATCCTACGTTTTTATAATGATTAAACTGGTTCATGTATCACTTAGTTTACTGAACCGTGATGAATGAAATAAATGTGTGAGGTAGTGGTTTACTGAAGTTACAAAGACATTAATATATGAGTAACAGGTCAGTGTAAACACAAGCTTCTGTCAATTATGGATTATTCAAACTATTTATATAAAAATATGTAATAAAGTTCTAAAACAAGTATTCGGTATATTCCTTGATAGCTTTTGAAGAAGGTTGTTTTTAAGTTTACTAAAATCTATCGTTTCAACTGTTTCACTTCATCAAGTCGAAAAACTCCGTAAGGAAGAGACACACACCGTTTGGATCCCCGGAAAAGAGGGACACACCGAAGCGGACAGGCTGGGCCGGTCGTGAGTAGATAAATGGAATAAATCCGTGTACGCATTGATTGGAATGTCGGACGTGTTAAAGTCTAAAAGGAAATCATAACGGCGATGCACACATTGGAGGAGGATTGTAAATGTGAGCACAGGTGAGTAGAGCATCATTGAGTTTCTTATTCTGTCAGTAAATTATCCAAATGAATGTTTTTCATTATTTTAGTCAACCCTAAACAAATTGATTGTACCTTTTTAATAATGACCTTACATGGTCGGCAAAGTTAAATTAACTTCAGAAAATCAAATCTGTTCTGAGAAAAAACTAATAAATGTTTAAATATAGGAACTTGCCATTCCACTGAAAAACAGTCCGTAGAGATTTAAAGGCGTAGTTGTAGTTCAGTCCAACGTTTCATTTGGATTCATTTCTCCAACAGTCAACTATTTTCATAAAGAATATATATATTTTTCAAAGTCAACTTTATTGTCAATCTTACTCAGTTTGTGTTTATAGACAGAGAGATTAAAAAGACGTTTAAATAAAATAAAATTATACAATTTACAGATATGTATACAAATTAGGGCTGTCAAGTTAATGCGTTAATAACGCTTTAACGCAAAAAAAAACGCCACTAATTATTTTAACGCGATTAACGCATGTGTATTTTTTTTCCTCGGCCGCCCCGTAGTTTCAGAGCGCATCGAGTTTAAATTACCGTCTATACAAGCTGATGCTGACAGCCCCGCTCCTGTCGCCCGCTTGTGGCAGACCACACTTCCACGCTCACCGGCAGGCACCGACTGGCTGTTGGGAGGACCGGGAGGGTGTGTGTATGTGTGGCCCGAGCGAGCGAGAGAGAGACCTTACGTGCATTGTTGTTGTTAGCATCTGGTGCTAGCTAGCTGCGCTAACGGATATGGAGCTGTTTACATGAAAACAGAGGAGCGACATTTCGCCACAACTGCGCCGAGCACTTGACTTTATGCAGGAAGCCAGACAGTGGGACATTGTACGAAAAGTCAGCACACTCAGCACGGATAGTGCGCAACATGATTGCAGCGTCCAGGCAGCTCCCGTTCGAGCATATGCCTTGAGTTGCACATAGCTCCAACGATCCATCACACACACACACACACACACACACACACACACACACACACACACACACACACACACACACACACACACACACACACACACACACACACACACACACACACACACACACACACACCATTTGTATTGTATTATTGTATGAGAGAGGTTCCAGGTTGAATTGAGGCGAATATTTGTAATGTTCAGAGGTTGTTGTGTTTAATATTCATGAGAATATTTGTCATTGTTCAAATGATAATAAACATTAGCATAAAGCATATTTGTCCACTCATATGTTGATAAGAGTATTAAAAACTTGACAAATATTCCTCTAAGGTACATTTAGAACAGATAAAAAAGGTGTGATTAATTTGCGATTAATCGCGATTAACTATTTTAATCGACTGACAGCCCTAATACAAATATATATATCCTATATACACCATCATGTATAATGATGGTGTATGATGTAGAAGGAAGTGTGGTAGATAACAAGTAAATATAGAGTTACATACAGATCCATGTTACAGCAAAATATGGAATAACTAAAAAGCACGCAGTATAATAATAATTACATGCAACAATTAAATAACTGCTCAGCATCTCCACCACAATCCCAATCTGCTGTGTCCTGTTTTCCTCCCCCCTGCATAACACCCCATCACACATACGAAACACAACGCAGAGTCCGAGGGTGTTAAGAGTATGTTTATTTAAATGTCCTCCTCTCTACTGGCCAACACAGGGAGCATATGCTGGGTGTAGAATGTTTCCAGGAGGAGGAGATTTCCATGCCATGCAGGGTCTTTGGGGATGGGGATGATGATCGCCTCCTTCGTGGTCCACACAACAAAGTAGCAGAGACTCCGGTCTGTGATGTGCAGCTGCCCTTGGACCTGGTACCAGTATGGTGATTCTCCTTGAGAATATATGACCCACCCTCCTCACGGAGACAGAAGGATGGTAACTGGACTGCTTCCGCGATGGTCATGTTCCTCTGGCTGTGTGGACACTTCACCTCCAGCAGGGCAGATGGCTGCACAAGTCCATCGGGTGATGCTCTCAAAACACCCGACTCACTCACAAAGAGACCAAACTCGAACACTGTCACTTGATAGGCCTCCACAAAAGCCTTCACCCCTTTGGCCTCGTTTACAACCCCCCAGTTGACAGCCATGACTCTGTCCAAGTTGTACCCCCCAAGCACCCTCTTCATGAGGGACGCGCATGGAGTGGATGAAAGTCCCGACCGCAGCACAGCACCAAAATTGCTGGCTGTCAACCTGCCCCGCCTGTGTAACTGCCACTGAGGATTTGTCCGCTGTCCTACGGTGGCTGTCTGGATGGCAGCTTGCTGGTCTCTGCTCAGTCGCAGATATTTATATATAATGTGTATACTGTTATTTCACACACGCTAAATGGAGGAATTATTTCTGATTTGAGTTACATTTTTTAAAGAATAAGCCAGTGAAGTAATCGATTTGTTTTTTCCACATTTGTTTTCACAGTGATGAAGACGAGGATCAAATGGCTTCTGGATCACAGCCATCAACATCTGCCTCATCCGAGCTAAGACGTGCATCAGATCAGCATACAGTTGCCCCAGAGCCATCAACATCCAAGCTACGCCGGCGGATGTCTGCACCATTACTAACTCAGCCTCCCTCTGCATCTTCTGATTCAGTGGACAGACTGTCAGGAGGAAAGTGAAACGGGCTGGTGTGTGGCAGACTAAGATTGTTACCGTTCCTGACGCTGTGGTGGACTACAACAGAAGCATGGGCGGCGTGGATGTGTCCGATGCTTTCATTGGGTACTACAGCGTTCACCACAAAATTATGAAATGGTACAAGACTTTTTTTTACCATTTTCTGGACATTGCAGTGGTGAACAGCTTCCTTCTCCACAAGGAGCTGCACAAGATGAGGGGTGACCCCGGCAGGACGAAGCCACACACCCAGAAGTCCTTCAGGGAGCAGCGTGCTGCAGACATGAGGGGTGAAGTCCCTGCAGCACCACCACCACTCCCCCCATCATCACTCGTATGCATTCCCAAGTATTATGGGGAAGATGCCACCGCGCTCAGGAGGTACTGCAGGAGGTGCTCTGATGCTGGCAACAAAACGGTGAAGACCTATCTACTGCACTAAGTGCCTGGTCCCTCTGTGCCTCAATTCAAATAACTGTTTCGAGGCGTGGCACACCTCTGACTAAACACATTCAGGTTGTGTACATTTTTTCTTTTTTGCCAGTGTTTACAAAAAAATTGCTTGTGGTGTTATTTCGGTTTTAGTGTAGTTTTTTAGTGTGTTATTTTTTAAATAAATCTGCTCCTGTTGGAGACAAATGTATCCTATGTTTCCTAATTTTTATTGTGTAAGTAAACCTTCCTAGAAGTGTTAGTCGGGTGATAAACATGTAAGGACTGTTGCAAAGCCCACACACAGACACAGACACACACACACCATTTACATTAGAAAAAAAGAAATGTAATTTAAAAAAAGATTTTTAATTATTATTTTTATAAAAACACTTGCATTTGGATGGAATGATTACCGATAGTGATAATACAATTATTTTTACAGTATGGTACCTGCAAAAGGTTAAATGGCACTGATGGTATCCAAATGTGCCCAAATGTTCCCAAAGGTCAGTCCGCCTGGACTTTTTGTTGCTAAACCTCTCTAAAAAGGTCAAATGTAACTTGTTTTGCCTCAATCTTGATACAGGGTACTTATTATATGTTATAGTTTGGATTCCTAAAGCTTTTAGTCTACCATCCCATCACTCAAGGGTGGTCACTATAAGTAATGTTTGTTTTTTTTTAGGCGGAGGTAAGAATTTACCTTTTTTTTTTTACTATGTTCCATCTGAAACATCTATATTGATTCGGACACTTCTACATCCACAGATGTAACCTTGTTTTGATAAAATAAATTATTCATATAACCCTTTTAGAAGTTAAGTTATAGTCATTTGTTTTGGAACCTGGCTCAGGGCTTAACAGGTTAACAGTCTTCTGGCCTGTGGAATAAAACTGTCCCTAAGTCTGGTGGTTGTAGTCCTGATGCTGTGGTAACGCCTGCCAGACGGCAGCAGACAGAACAGTTTGTGGCTGGGGTGATGGGGGTCTTTGATAATCCTGAGGGCTTTCTTCCTGAGCCGCTGGGAGTAAAGGTCCTCCATGGATGGCAGCTCCATCCTGGTAATGTTCTGTGCAGTTTTCACCACCCTCTGTAGAGTCTTACGGTTGAGGGCGGTGCAGCTGCCGTACCAGGCCGTGATGCTGCCAGTCAGGATGCTCTCTATGGTGCACAGGTCTGTAGAAGGTCAGGGTGCTCTCTATGATGCACCTGTAGAAGGTCAGGATCCTCTCTATGGTGCACCTGTAGGTCAGGATCCTCTCTATGGTGCACCTGGAGAAGGTTAGGATGCTCTCTATGGTGCACCTGTAGAAGGTCAGGATCCTCTCTATGGTGCACCTGTAGAAGGTCAGGATCCTCTCTATGGTGCACCTGTCGAAGGTCAGGATCCTCTCTATGGTGCACCTGTAGAAGGTCAGGATCCTCTCTATGGAGCACCTGTAGAAGGTCAGGATCCTCTCTATGGTGCACCTGTAGAAGGTCAGGATCCTCTCTATGGATCACCTGTAGAAGGTCAGGATCCTCTCTATGGTGCACCTGTAGGTCAGGATCCTCTCTATGGTGCACCTGGAGAAGGTTAGGATGCTCTCTATGGTGCACCTGTAGAAGGTCAGGATCCTCTCTATGGTGCACCTGTAGAAGGTCAGGATCCTCTCTATGGTGCACCTGTAGAAGGTCAGGATCCTCTCTATGGTGCACCTGTAGAAGGTCAGGATCCTCTCTATGGTGCACCTGTAGAAGGTCAGGATCCTCTCTATGGAGCACCTGTAGAAGGTCAGGATCCTCTCTATGGAGCACCTGTAGAAGGTCAGGATCCTCTCTATGGTGCACCTGGAGAAGGTCAGGATGCTCTATGGAGCACCTGTAGAAGGTCAGGATCCTCTCTATGGTGCACCTGGAGAAGGTCAGGATCCTCTCTATGGTGCACCTGTAGAAGGTCAGGATGCTCTCTATGGTGCACCTGTAGAAGGTCAGGATCCTCTCTATGGTGCACCTGGAGAAGGTCAGGATGCTCTCTATGGTGCACCTGTAGAAGGTCAGGATCCTCTCTATGGTGCACCTGGAGAAGGTCGGGATGCTCTCTATGGTGCACCTGTAGAAGGTCAGGATGCTCTCTATGGTGCACCTGTAGAAGGTCAGGATCCTCTCTATGGTGCACCTGTAGAAGGTCAGGATCCTCTCTATGGTGCACCTGTAGAGGGTCAGGATCCTCTTTATGGTGCATCTGTAGAAGGTCAGGATCCTCTCTATGGTGCACCTGTAGGTCAGGATGCTCTCTATGGTGCACCTGTAGAAGGTGAGGATCCTCTCTATGGTGCACCTGTAGAAGGTCAGGATGCTCTCTATGGTGCACCTGTAGAAGGTCAGGATCCTCTCTATGGTGCACCTGTAGAAGGTCAGGATGCTCTCTATGGTGCACCTGTAGAAGGTCAGGATCCTCTCTATGGTGCACCTGTAGAAGGTCAGGATCCTCTCTATGGTGCACCTGTAGAAGGTCAGGATCCTCTCTATGGTGCACCTGTAGAAGGTCAGGATGCTCTCTATGGTGCACCTGTAGAAGGTCAGGATCCTCTCTATGGTGCACCTGTAGGAGGTCAGGATGCTCTCTAGGGTGCACCTGTAGAAGGTCAGGATGCTCTCTATGGTGCACCTGTAGAAGGTCAGGATGCTCTCTATGGTGCACCTGTAGAAGTTGCAGAGTATCCTGGAGTCCATGTTGAACCTCCTCAGCCTGCGGAGGAAGAAGAGCTGCTGTCGAGCTGTTTTGGTGATGGTGATGGTGGTGGTGTGAAGAGTCCATGTCAGGTACTCAGTGATGTGGACACTGAGGAACCTGAAGCTGCTGACTCTCTCCACCGTAGTCCCATTGATGGTGATGGGGGCGTGTCCCTCTCTCTGCTGCTTCCTGTAATCCACAAGCAGCTGCTTGTTATCCTGGCACCAAGATGTCAGGTTTGCGACCTCCTCTCTGTACGCCGTCTCGTCGCCGTCGGTGATCTGGCCGATGACGGTCGTGTCGTCAGCAAACTTCACAATGGTGTTGGAGCTGTGTGTGGTCACAGTAGAGGAGAGGGCTGAGCACACAGCCTTGAGGGGCTCCGGTGTTGAGGATCAGGGTGGAGGATGTGATGTTTCCCACCCACCCTGCCTGGGGTCTGCCCGTCAGGAAGTTCAGGATCCAGTCACATAGGGCGCTGTTGAGCCTGAGGTCTCTGAGCTTGATGACCAGCTTGGAGGGCACAATGGTATTGAAGGCTGAACTGTAGTCAATGAACAGCATTCTCACATACGTGTTCCTCTGGTCCAGGTGTGAGAGGGCAGTGTGGATGGTGAGGGCTATGGCGTCATCTGTAGACCTGTTAGCTCTGTCGGCAAACTGCAGGGGGTCCAGAGAGTCAGGGAGGGAGGAGGTGATGAATGTTTTGACTACCCGCTCAAAGCACTTCATGATGATGGAGGTGAGTGCTACTGGGCGGTAGTCGTTGAGGCTGGTGATTTTAGTCTTTTTGGGGACAGGAACAATGGTGGAGTGTTTGAAGCATGTGGGGACTACAGACTGCAGCAGGGACCTGTTGAAGATGCCAGCTGAACCTCTGCCAGCTGAACTGCACACACGGCCAGGGATGCCATCAGGTCCAGCAGCCTCGTGTGGGTTAACCCTTTTTGTAATACTTAAGCCGGGCTGTCATGTTATTTTGCATTAACAATTGCTTCAGGTATTGAAGTAACGTGAACACTTTGCAATACAAATGGGACTGAACAATGTCTTACTAATCAGACTTTAATTCACCTTCACTTCATTGACAAAACGATGAACTCATGCTGCTCTTCATAGTTCAATTCAATTTAAATCAGACTTTATTAAGGCTCTCATGGGGAGCCTTAATTGAAAGCTGCACATTTGAGTCTTCTATTACCTTCAATTCTCTAAGCAGGTTAGAAGTCACTGCTATTCCTATTTTCATATTATGATGTTTGTTCGTATCACTTCATTATGTCCTGACTATCGACTGTGTATAAAAATGTCCTAGCACATTTTTAAGCGGTCCTCCAGGATTGTTGGGAGTTCTGTCTGTCTGTCTCACAGGAGCACAGCAGTGCAGAGGTTATTGTGTAAGTCCAAATGTGTAATTGTTTATTTCCTTTCCTTCCCTTAGCCAGAGGGCAAGGCAATGCTCCCAATACTCCACATTCAGAAACTGACACAGAAACAATCCTGCAAAGTCTAAAAACAGAGTAAAACCACCAGCTCATGAAAGCATCAAATTGAAATATAAAACTGGATAGGGACACTTTGGCAAAGCAATAGCACAACAAGAATGTTCACATAATATCAAGGGACTCATATTTGAACAACTGATAACAATGAATGATCATTTTTCTATTCAACGAAACCAAGGAGAAGGACTTTTTCACAATGACGGTGTAAAAGAAAATTACTAAAGTTTTGAAAGAATCTGCTCAGCCTTATAACACCCTGTCTGTCCTTGTGGAGTGATGTTTGCACCAACAAAGATGCTGCTAAATTAATGTGTGTGTGTTTGTGTGTGCTTGTGCACACAAGCATTATTTTGTGCAATGTTTTGGCAGAAAGCTGATTAAAGAATGAATGAGGAAGTTGATTTCTACCCCACAGTGGACCAACAATGTGCAGGATTAATCAGGCCGGCTCCTATCCATGCAGGTTAATTAGGGTTAAATGATAATTAGGACACCATTAAAAAGGCAAACAACCACAGAGGACCCTTAATCCGCACAATGCTGAGCTGGGTAGGTTTATTTGTTCGTGGAGGGGTGTGCTTACGGACAAAAGGTGTTTTCGGGGATCCAGTATGCATTGGCTTTGTATAAGTACTCTAATTTGTCCGTGTGAATCGAGTACTATAGTTGTATTTGTGTGTTTCCTTGCAGCACATATTTTGTCCTTTGTGGATGCACGATTGGGGACTATATTTTGGACCCCATTCAAATGTTTGTTTTCTTACTTTTCTGTGATCATGGTACACAAGTTGTATTCTTACTGAAAGATTCAAAATGCATTCCAGTCAAGGTTAAAATGTCGCAACAGCTTAGAAAAATATCAATATATAACATCCACGCCACATCTTGTTACCCGCTATTTGTACTGAACTGCTCCCAAAAAGTTCACCAAAGTGAAAATAGAATGATGACTAATACCCAGAATGCCTTGCACCGTGATGGGATGTAAATGTATAATGGTTGACCTGGAACATCCTCTTTGTCCTACTCAGATACAAATTTGCTCCCATTTTGGCCTCGCA